AAAAAAAAAAAAAAAAAAAAAAAGAAAAGAAAAGTTGTGTTATTTGTCACACTGTCAGTAGAATGCATGTTACATGGAAATGTTGATCATAAGAACGTGATCAATGCCCCTTGAGATGAAGGCAATGAAAATTAATTTTATGGAATAAATACATAATAATTTATGACTGTATATGTGTCTGTGTGTGGTCTTTTGCCCCACTCATCCAGCCATCACCAGCTGATCAACAAAGGATACAAATGTGCATGTTAATAAATTGTCATCATTGGTAGTTTGTCAGCTTCCAGTCAAATGAAAACCATAGCTTTACAGTATTTCTCAAGATACATTTATCACGGTAAGAGGATAGAACATCTTTATTATTTCTACATATTACATGTGTGTGGGCCTCCATTTGCCTTTGTATTTTTGCCTCAACCCCTTCCTTGTACGTGTTGGGGGGCTGCCACCAGCAGTGACAGGGTACCTCTCTCCTTATGTGGCAGGAGGCTCGCGTCACTGCCATTGCTCCTCCCTGACAACCGCCAGCTTGGATACTTTGCATTTGTTTATGGGTCATTCTTTTCCAGGAATTTGCCTATTTTCGTCCTGTGATCATTTTTTCTCTTTAGTTGTTTTGTCCTCTTCTTATCAATCTTAAGGCTGTCTTCTCTGCTCAAAACAAAATTCCCGAATCTGTTGTTTTTATTTGCTTTTACTTTGCTTATGGTATTTTTGCCATTTGAACGTTTTTTGTGGTCAGTAGTACTCTCCCTCTTCTTGTGTAGTTTGTAAGACCAGAAACCTAGGAGCCATCCCCGCCCTGAGACATACAGCTGCCTAGATTTCCTTGAAGAATTTTGTGTTTTGTATTTAGGTCCTTAGCTATCTGGGTTGGCTTCTGTGAGTGATAGGAGATAGGGTTCCCGTTTCCTTCTAATAGGATACCAGCTTTCTCTTTCTAGTCCTTTGAATGCCAGGCTACATTCTCTAGCTACAATTTAGCCTCTCCGTGTGATTGCCCAACAGATACCTCAAGCTTTTGTCCAAAACTAAACTTGTTTCCCTACCCAACCCCACTCCACACACACCACAAAGCAAAAAACGTCTTCCCAGTCTTCCACCTTTCAATAAGTGTTTCTTGCATCCTTTCAGTTTCTGCCTTAGATTTCTCTCTCTCACATCCGGTCCACCTGCAAATTCTGTCAGCTCTGCCTTCAAAATGTCCCAGGTCCAGCCTCCTTCCCACCCTCTCCTCTGGAAACACCCCGACACAAACCACTGCCTCTCCAGCCTCTTAAGGGGTCTCTGTTTCCTCTCTCATCTCCCTCAGTCCACACACAATGGCCAGAACGGTTTCCCTAAGATGACTCTGTAGAAGTATAGCACACATTCCGGGTGCATAGATCCTGTCTGGAGCCCTGGATGCGCTTCCACAGGGTGGACACACGTGTAATCAGCACACAGCCCGACACACACACCCCTCCGTCACTGCCCTCCCCGCAAGGAAACTGCCTGCCCGGCTTCCAGCACCGTGGGCTAGTGGTGCCTGTTTTGGAACTTTATCTGAGTGGGGTTGTGTAGTCCGTGCTTTTTGGGTGCCTCTTACGTTTCTGAGATCTGTCTCGTGTGTAGCAGAGTCCACCTTCACTGAAGCATAGTGTGTCACAGGTTATTTACTTGGGCAGATGTTTGTGTCTTTTGCAGTTCGCTGTTATTACAAGTAGTGCTGCTGTGAACATTCTGTACACTTTCATGGTGAACTTACCTCCACGTTTCTGTTGGACAGAAGTGTGGGGATAAAATGGCTGAGTCGGCTTTAGGAGACCCCGTAGGTGGCCTCCCAAAGTGGCTTTGCCAGTCCACATGCCCAGCAGCAGTGAGTGAGGGTCGTGGTCCCCGCACCTCTGTGCCCATACTTGATACCGTGTCTGTTTCATGTTAGCCGTGCCGGTGATGGGCATGGCGGTAAGAATGGTTATTTTTTTAAACTTAACTCATCTCGTGACACTTCTCGGTTCAAACTCTCCAGCGTCTTCCCACCTCACTCAGACTAAACGCCCTTCCGAGGGCCTGTAAGTAGGATGACCATGTGATTCAGTATTCAAACTGGAACTTAGTTTTGAGAGTGAAAGGGGCACTATTAATTAAGCCGGGACAACAGGCATAAGTCAGGACGGTCCTGGGAAACCAGGATGTACAGTCACCCCACTTGTCAAAGCCTCATGGTCTGCCTGCTGGCCGTCCCTCTGACCCTGCTGCACACTCTCCCTGGCTTTATCCTCTCCAACCACAGTGGCCTCCTTGAAGTTCGTTGAACTTGGCAAGCATGTCCTGCTTCAGGAATGTTCTTCCCCAGCAATCAGCATGGCTTACCCTCAGTCCTTCAGAGAGGCCCTTAGAAAGCAGCACGTCTCCACCATCACATGTCCCACGTGCTGCTATGGGCTATAGTTTACTGCTGTTCAGTAAAGCCTGACATTCTTTATTGCTCTGTCACCCTGTGCCCCAAATGCAAGCTCCGTGGGAGAAGGTACTTTGACCATTTAGTTTTCTGCTACGTCCCAGCATTTAGACCAGTGCCTGAGATATAGTTCACTGTAGAACCGGGGTGGTGGGTACACAGCTGTTAGCGTACAATTGCTTCAACTTTTGTTACTTGCAAATTTGTAATAAAACGTTAGAGAAAAAGTCAACTTATTTCATCTTCATAGCAGGCCCCATGAAACGGGCAAAGGGGTGTGCGGACAGGCAGCAGCAGCGTCTCCCGGGTGGTTGTCAGAAGTACACGATGTTGGGTCCCATCCTGTACCTGCCAACTCGGGGGTCTCTGGATGGAGGTGCTGAGGATCGAAGGGGTGCTGATGCACACGGAAGTCTGAGATGCACCCAGTTATTTGTATCCCCATTTTACAGATGGGAAAAATGAGGCACGATAAAACTTAACTCAATCACCCAGCTAGAAAATGGTGGTGCTGGGATTGGATGGACCCTTAGAGCTGAGGGCTAAAGGTATGTCCAGCAGTCTAACTGACATGTAGAATGTAATGCAAACAGGCTTTCTTTGCCGTTTCCGTGAGTGGGGAATGCTGGAATCAAAGTGTGTCCCATGTGCCATTAATATAGAAGTGTATTAAGCTACCCTGTCACCTGTGGGAGTGTCTCTCATCTTCAGCCACTCTTTGTTGGTTTTTTGGCAGAAACCTGGGGACCGTGGGTGCCGTTGCCGTGGACTGCCGAGGAAATGTGGCTTATGCGACCTCCACGGGGGGCGTCGTCAACAAGATGCTGGGCCGCGTCGGGGACACGCCATGTATAGGTGGGATGGACGGGTGATCACTGCCCCTGCCCCTGCCCTCCCCCGTACTCTCGTCCTCTTTCTCTGGTCTTCGCCTCACCCCCACACCCACTTCTTTCTTCCTTCATTTCCTCCTCCTCCTGGTGGCAGCTTTAGAATTTCTGGGAGTGGCGGTGGGTTGGAGGGGGTCGCCCAGGGCACGTGCAGAAGGTGGCGTGTCCAGCAGGCACCTGTTTCCTAGATGCTGTGTTTTGGGGGGGGGGGGCATGGAGGACTTGGGAGGGAGGTGGAGCTGGGGTACTGAAGCCGCCGCAGCACCCCCGGTGCCTCTGTCTTCTCTCTAATCCGTTTCAGGAGCTGCAGACTATTCCCAAAGGGTTAAGTACACGAAACCTTTTCCCAGGCATGGGCTCCAATGAGCAAACTAAGAAAGCTGAGAATTTAAGTTTGCAGTTATTAGATCTGAGTGGCATGTTTTACCTAACAGTAGTGGACACACCACTACTGGAGTGACGCACCACCGCTACGAGATATTGCACGTCAAAGTGTTCTTCGCGTTAACCTCGGAGCACATTGACTTAATTCCCGGTGGTGGGGGGAGGGGAGGGGTGTATATGTCTTACCCTGTGCGCTGGGTGGATGTGCTGGGGGCAGAGGAGGGGCTGCTCTGGTGTCGCTGCCCTGGGAAGGCTAGGCCTGCCTCCCCGACATGCCCTCCATCCCCATCTCAGGGTGTTATTCACACGGCGCTCACCAGTGCACCTTGGCGTTTAACATTTATGTAGCGTTAGACTTGTAATAAGTGTTTGAATTTCTTGACGGTTGCCGCTCAGTTAGAAACAATTCCCTTCCTTGAGCAGGATCTGGAGGTTACGCTGACAATGATATTGGAGCCGTTTCAACAACAGGGCACGGAGAGAGCATCCTGAAGGTGAATCTGGCCAGACTCACCCTCTTCCACGTGGAACAGGGTACGTGGAACAAGGCCGTGCCGTCTGACTGTGAGGGGGTAGGAGCTGTTTACAAATCGACGGAGAGGGTTGGGAAGCCCTTTCTTGTTTGCTGCAGACGTTGCTTTCAGGTTAACGCCCCTTCTGTTAGGGTCAGGAAAGAAGGGCATTTGGAATACTGGTTGCCTCCTGCCTCCTGGGGGCGGTAGAGAGACTGAGCCTGCGTGTGGGAGAAAAGGCAGCTTCATCCAGTGCAGGGAGGGCCTTGTAGGGTGAGAGTCCTTGTTTGAGACATTGAAATAGAAATCACTTACTAAGAATCTTTGTTAAGACGCTTCAGTTTTTCATACTGTAAATAATTTTCCCACCAGATTCCTTTCACTAACTTGTGTTGTTTCTCAACCTCTCATTGTTTTCAGGAAAGACGTTAGAAGAGGCCGCTGACGCGTCGTTGGGTTATATGAAGTCCAAGGTCAAAGGTGTAGGTGGTGTCATCTTGGTCAACAAAGCAGGAGACTGGGCGGTGAAGTGGACCTCCACGTCCATGCCCTGGGGGGCCGCAAAGGACGGCAAGCTGTACTCTGGAATTGATCTTGGCGACACCAGCATCACTGACCTGCCCTAAGTCCCCAGAAGCTGTATTCTAGAAGCTAAGACTTAGCTCAATCAGTTAGATCTAGAAATGGAAAATTCTGCAGTCTGTCCCTCATTTTGTTGCCTTGATCAGTGTTTGGTTGGGGACAGATTCCGAAGTGATGTGTGACATGCCCATGTTAGGATCAAATAAGACTAGTGAAGATGACAAACTCACTGAGCCTTCCTCGTGAATACTCCCCATCATCTGAGGTTAGAAAGAAGAAACAGCATGATCTTAACAGGACAGAAACAGCCTCAGTGCAGGGAGTGCCTTTTGGAATTGGGAGACCCACTGCAGTGACAGAGGCTGTAGGTGCGAGGGTGCGGGGAGCCCGGAGGAGAGCAGCACTCTGGGGCAGGACCCAGTGCTGGGATGAGGTGGGGGGACAGTGAAGGGGAGACAGGGCAGCAGAGCTAACGGATTGGTGAGTGATGCACGTGAACATTGCAGAGCTCGTTCTGAGCCAGAAGAACATTAGGTAAAAGAATCTCTGAGAGAGAAACTGATTTTTTTTTTTTTTTGTGGTAAGCAGGCCTCTCACTGCTGTGACCTCTCCCGTTGCGGAGCGCAGGCTCCGGACGCGCAGGTTCAGCGGCCATGGCTCACGGGCCCAGCCGCTCCGCGGCATGTGGGATCTTCCCGGACTGGGGCACGAACCCGTGTCCCCTGCATCGGCAGGCAGACTCTCAACCGCTGCGCCACCAGGGAAGCCCCGAGAAACTGATTTTTTTAAGGACGTGCAGATCTTCTCTGACTTACTAACATAGGCGTGTTTCCAGGTGCTTTAAAAGGACCCTCTGGTAACCCCTGGCTCTAATCTGCTGATGAAGGGTCGTCATGGAGACTCTGGAGGCCCTCCAAGTCTGAGGGTTTTCTCAGGCTCACACACGAGCCTGCTCACCTCGTGTTTCCCCCCAGCCATCCTCCGCCTCCCAGACCCCCGGGTCCCCATCATGAGCGATGGGGGTCGTGACCTCTCCGCCTCTGCTACGACAGGGAAGGGCCAGTCAGTGTCTAGATGACCCCGACTTCATGGCGTCCATGACTGTCCAGGGCTGTGGGTTCCCCCAGCTGAACCAAGTGTCCACTGTGGTCAGCACGGTGAAGAAAGGCATCTCCTTGGTGGAGAGTATTCCTGTTAACCTCTTTACACTGGAAATGGTATTTTTGCTGTGACACATCTGCTCAATTTTTAGTCTGTCAGGGCTTACCTTCTCTCTGGAAAGAAATTGCTTCACTTTAAATTCCATGTGCCACTAATAAAATGTATTTTGAAAGAATAACAGCGTGGTTAGGAGTCACTGTTGACCAGAATGTACACGAACTCCCTTGGTCTGTCAGTTCAGACAGGTAAACTCGTTAAAGAGAGCTTTCAGCCTAAGTGTGGTGTGTGGATGTGATAAGACTGCCCGCCTCATGGAGAATACTCGAGAGTTTTCAGAGGAATTGAGTTTTTTCAGGATGGGTTAAGGAAGAAGCCAAACCACCACTGCAGGAATCAGCACGGCCTATGGGTCCAGCTTCTCGCGCTGGCCGTCCATGGCACGAGACAGTCACGCAGTCCGGGCCCCTGTCCCCTGACCTTCCCCGTGCCCGTGTCAGCTGCCCTGAGCCCGAGAGAGGGAGAGAGAGGTGGCGCTTGGAGGCAGACTGGATCCTGCTTCTCCCCACAACCTGGGTGACCCGGGGCAGGTTAACTTCTGAGAATTTTATCATCTATAGAATAGGTCACTATGAAGATTAAATGAAAACGAAGGACAGCTGCTCAGTGTTTATCTCCAGATCCTCTGGACAAATAGAGGACGTGTGGCCCAGGAGGGAGTCCATGTGGTTCCGTCCTTGAACACCTCAGATGCAGCAATCGTCCTTTAGAAAGAAGTACTTTGTTAGCAGGTGTATTCGTTTGCTAGGGCTGCACATGCGGTGGCTCACACGACAGACGTTCCAGAGGCGGGAAGCCCCAGGTGCAGGTGTCGGCAGGGTAGCTTCTCCTGAGGTCGCTCTCTCTGGCTTGCGCGCAGCCTGTTCTTTATAGAGTCTGTGGCCAAATCTCCTCCTCTTCTAAGGACACCCGTCACATGGGATCAGGGCCACCTAACGGCCTCACTTTCACCTCTTCAAAGGCCCTGTCACCAAATACCTGGGGCTTAGGGCTTCAACATAGGGATTCTGAGGGGACACAGTTCGGCCCCTGACAGGAGGCAGAGCAGGACTACATTAGGGGTTGGGAAGGGAGAGACTTTTGCAGAAGTAACCATCCCCGAGTGGAGAAGGGAGAAGGGAGGAGCGGGGAGCAGAGGCTGGTTTTGCGCTTCTCGATTCTGTTCACGAGGGAAGTGGATCTAGTCACCAGGGGCCGCTGGGGCCTCAGCTCGGGCCACCTGCCCTCTTTGGTCGGGCAGCCCACTTAGGGAAGGGTCCCCAGCCCCTCTGTGTGAGCCCAGGCGCGTGTTGTTGCCCTCGGACCTCGGTTCAGTGAACGGTCACCCCACTAGCCTGGGATCCCGTATGTGGAGACCACCGTGGGTCTCTGCCGCCCCCCACGTTGCCAGGGGGCAGCTCCCTAACTGTCCAACAAACGTAGGCTCACCGTAGCGTCTGAAGGGGAACGACAGCCTTTTATCCCTTCTCTGCCACAGGAGGGCAGCAAACCACACACTGTCCACCGCTTTCAGCCCAAAGGGGAGAAAACTCATCTCCACCCTGAATCAAATCAATCTACTCAGAAATTTTGGAACCGCGAGGGGGTTCCTGTTCTGACCTTCATTTCATCTAAATACTATTATTTTAGAGCACAGTTGTCCAGAAAAACAAATGCTAGCAAATGCCCCACAGAACGCATCGAAATCAACCACGTCTCTGACTCTTAAATCAGTGAAGCCCGCTCTGCACCTGCTGCCGCGGCCGGCAGCCCCTTACAGCCAGGAAGAGGGTTACACGGTAACCCATAAGGAGAATATGGGAGCCCAGAGCCCAGAGCGGGTGGGTGTCTGCGGGAGGCAGCTGGGCCCCCGTCCAGGGAAGGAAGGGCCTTAACTGTGGAGCTGTTGGACAATAAATGTTTCTTTCAAGTAATGTCCGTTCCAGCCATGTTCCTCTCTAGCATGAGAGATTATGGACTCTGAGGGCAGAGGGGGAGGGAGCGGGCTGTGTCACCCTCTCCTGAGAAGTGGGAGGCGGGGGGAGCCCGCGGGGACACCGTCCCTCCCGCCCCACCTCTGCCTTCACCCTCGCCCAGAACCGTGGCTGCATTTGGACAGGCGGTGGCAGCTCTGAGGGGGCGGGGGGCGCCCCGCAGGGCGGCCAGCTGAAGGGCGTGTGGTACCCTCCGCCCCCTCTTGCACTGTGTGCGAGGGACCCAGGAAGGAATGGGGCTGGGACGGGGCTGGGCTGGTGGTGGGCGCGGTGCCCAGCGGTGGTTCCCTCTGGGGCACAGGTGCCATCAGAGAGGCAGGCCGCCGGTCCGGCTCATCCACCCAACTCGTGTGACCCAGAAGAGCTGGGCCACAGGCATGCAGCTCGTCTCTTGTGAGGGGTTAGCGTGCCAGGGGAGGCTCAGGGACGACAGGGCTCTGCTGACAGGTGAAGTAAGGCCCCGAGAAACAGGTTTCCCGGGGCATTCGTCGCATTCCAGTTAAACCGCGGTTTGTATCGGCCTCCCTGGTCCCAAACCCTCTGTCCCTGGGTGACGGTGGACTTCTCACGTGGTGCGCGGCACCCAGCGCCCCCAGATGCAAGCAGGGGCCGTCCCACGAGCGCTCCGGGTGACGAGCAGAAAAGAACAGCACACGTAACGACGTTCTCTTTCAAATTCTGCTTTTCTTCCCCAACCCACGATTAAAATGGACTTGGATTTTCATACAAAGAGACGTTTGGGCCAGGCCTGGACTGGGTTGGTAAAGGAGACCAGGCTGGGATCCTTTTTTTTTTTTTTAAATCACAGATCATCTCAGAGTCAAGTCTGTTTTTTGCTCTGCAATTATCAGTACTTTCCGGATCCTAGGCCGAACTCAGATGGGGTTTGGGTTCTAAGCTCTGGCTGGGAGCAAAGGAGCAGAGAGGTTAGTTCTTCCTGTCCTGTAGGCCGTGGCTCCATCCATGACTCAGGCAGCCCCAGGGTTGTTATTTTTCAGGGTAGCAATTTTTACCAAACACTTTTTAGTTAAAAATAACCTTTTAATATAATAATAATATTAATATTATTATATAATAAATTAATATAATAAAAGGGGGTATATGTTCATTGTAGAAGTTGGAAAAAATTGACCAAAAAAAATTTTAAGGGTGAGAAAACATAGATCCACAAACATAAGAAAAAAATAAGGGGAAAAACTTCTTAGCACCCCAGTCAGTATCACTATTAACACCTACTGTGTGTTCATTAGTATTTTGTCCAAGATGAGGCCACTCCATGTGCTTTTTAAATGTTTATTTCAGTTAACAATCCACCTTTCCATGTCAATAAACTTTCACCTTTTATAATACTCAGGCAACATTCAGATGCCTCCAGTTTACTCAGAAAACGTCACCAACAGCAGTTGTGTCCAAAGCCTGTCCCTAGCCTGGATGGGTGACTGTGCCCTCGGTCTCTCCTCACAGGTCCTACCCCGTCTTAATGGCTCTGGCTCGTTGGGTAGCCAGGACCCCCGCCACACCTACCCGGCCGTTCAGGTTCCCTCCTCCGCTTCTGCAGTGGAAGCCCGCAGTGCTGGGCTGTGGGAACAGGACCGGGCTTAAGATTTGGAAAGGGAAGCGTGGGTTGTGCCGGAGCACAGGGCCCCACCCAGAAATGTGACCAAGAGTGACTTGGAGTGGATCGAGCAGGTGGGGAGCGGGTTCGCCCCATGCAGCCCCCAGGGAAGGCCTGGCCTGCTGTCCACACAGTAAGCGGGAGCGGCGCCAAGTGCCTCCTGGGCAAAGGGCATCTTCCGAAGTATTTACAGATGGGCCCCGCTGGGTGCCGTCTCACCAAAGGCAGGGATATTTCCGTGGGATGAGAACAAAGGCTGGGCTGCTCTTGCCTTGAGAACAACACTCTCCTGTCCACTGGTGCCAGATCTCTGGGGCTTTGAACTCGGATGCTGCCTCCCAGTGTTCTATTGAGACGCCCAGTATTTAAATCTTTGAAAAAGTAAGGAAGACCCAGGCGAGTCCCTCCCTCCCTCCCGC